AGGTGATTTTCCCAATGACATGTTGCTGTACGCTGATGACCTGGAGGTGCTTGCTATAGGTCGGCAAGGGAGGATTGGTGGAGTGTTGGCCTATGCAGTTATGGCCGCTCTTGGTGCACCCTTCAAGTGGGCTAAACAGCGAGGTGGCCTGGTGACAGAGTGGATCGGCTTGACCACGGACTACCAGTCCTTCTCCATGGGCCTCTCGGTGAAGAGGACGGGCTGGGTCCTTGAGTGGATAGCTTCTTTGAGGAGGAGGAAAGAGGTCACTTATCGCGAGTTTGCTGCAGGTCTTGGAAGGCTGGGCTTTTCTGCACTAGCCCTCCCCTGGGAGAGGCCTCTACTGGGTCCTTTGTATGCGTGGGCCTCGGCAATTCAAATGAATCGGGGTGCGATGACCATTCCTTGGGCTATTCAATTCATTTTGGACTGGATTGCCAAGAGGCTCAGGGCCGGAGGCCACATGGAGGTTGTCAAGCAGCCTGCAAGACAAGGGGGGAGGTCCCTGAAGATTTGGACTGACGCCAAGGCGACAGAACAAGCGGCTTGGATAGGGGGATGGCTTGAAGAGTGTGAGGACAGCAAGCGATGTCGCTGGTTTTCACTGCAGGTCACAGAGGTTAGCGCCCCCTGGCTTTACTATCGGGGAAAGAACCCGAAGCGAGTTATTGCTGCATTGGAATTGCTGGCGACTCTGGTCGCTTTGAAACTATGGCTGAAGAGTGCAGGAGATTCAGCTGAGGTGTGTGCAGAGGCCTTCACGGATAACCGGGGCAACGCCTTCATCCTGAAGAAAGGGCTCTCCACAAAATACCCTGTCACGTTGCTTGTGATTGAGGTGGCGGAGACACTTCGAAGATGTGATGCCTTCGCAACCCTCACTTGGGTCAGGAGAGACGGGAACGAACTGGCTGATGCTCTGACCAATGAGGACTTCAGCGCCTTTGATCACCAGAGGAGAGAGGCAGTAGAAGAAGGAGGGCTCCAATGGCACGTGATGGACGAGCTATTGAGGGGCAGTGAGGTGCTTTTCAATGAGATCAAGGAGCACAAAAAGAAGAAACAGGATGACGGGCCAAAGCTGAGCCTAGCAAGGAAGAAACCGAAGAAATACTTCAGTCGTTGGAAATCCTGACTGAAAGCGGGATGGTCTGCCCTAAGACGCTCTTAGGGCAGCCGGCAGGAGACATATCCAACCGACTGAAAAAGAACGCTTTGAGCTTGCTTGTTGTCGGTCGGGGTTGTTGCCTTACAAGCTTTCATACAGAATACATTCATGACATGTCATGACAGTATTTTGTATTATTTGCTTGTAGGCTCGAGGGTAGGAGATTTTCCTTTTCCCTACCCCACCCTCCCGGAAAATCACCTGGCAGGTGGGACGCTCCCAACGACAGGCCATTCCGCAACGCTTGCGGACGGGGGATGGCGTCGGCAGGAGACATATCCAACCGACTGAAAAAGAACGCTTTGAGCTTGCTTGTTGTCGGTCGGGGTTGTTGCCTTACAAGCTTTCATACAGAATAGAAATGGGTAATACAATAGCAGAAGCAAACCACACAATGCAAAACATTTTACTGTAAACGTTGGATTACCTGAAACAAGTCAATATGAAACAAATAGGCGATTTGTCAATTGTGTACAATCCAAATGTGGAAACAAGAACATCAGATTTTTCATCTGAGGTGAATAATACTGTTTGCAACACTTCAAGACACAAATGAGGACATACCACATTTTAGATGCATTGTTAGAGGCTACCGCTGATGGTACTAGTTCTACTACAGCATCTGCTGGTGCAACTTATGCCTGAACATCTGAGATGAAAGGTGGGTACAAGGGGGGAAACATATATACATATATATATATATGTATTTTCTTTGGCTTATAAAGATCCATTGATCCTGGAGCAGGGTCAGTGGAAAGCAGACACACACACATATATATATAGACTTGACAGTGCAGTCTCCAAGGCCAAACATCAGTTTCATCAAGTCTAGAACTTGTAGGTGCTGGATGTGCATACGGCTGCCCTGTCTCCGACGTGTCAGAGACCTAGTAACCTGAGACCAATTCTCTCAAACAGACCAGTTCTGATTTGATTTTGCTCTGCACCAAGCAGAACAGCACCAGACGAAACACTGCTAGATGCCACCAGCAAAAAGCTACGCTTGAAGTCTGTTGAATGCCCTGGCTCTAGGACAAGATCGTCATCGTAAAGAAGCGCTACAAGGGCAGGGCTGCACGTTTCACACCCAGCAGCATGCTTTTGGACGACAATGTGAGGCAGGTCTTGGAATTGCGAGTACTTGGAATCGTAAGTACAAGTAGTTGATGGTTCCGGATTTAGCGCTGAGCAGATGAAGCCGGAATTTGCCGACAGTGCCGAAATCAGCATTAGAAGCTTGAGGCTGTCAAGTCAAGGCTTATTTGTTTACATAGTGCCTTCTCTTGAGGCAGTCGATTGTACACACCTATCATGTGCAAACTTGTCAAACATAAATCATTGGAGAGGGCCTCCGATTTGGTATTGCTATTGCCAAGCTCGTGCCAGCCCTGGCAGGATTTGCGAAACAGATTTCAAAGACGGCGAAGACCTGCCATATATCTACATGGGTGATTTAGATGAAGAGGCTTGGGACTTTTGACCTGCCAAATGTACATAGACGGGGCAAGGGCCAAACGGCACTTTGCTCTTGTGATTTCGACCCTTTACTGCTCTCAAAGTAGAGTGGATGTGGTCAGGGTTGCCAGTGACAGGTTCGTTCAAGGCTGTTTGCCAGCGTGCATCGATAAAACAATCATCCGAGTTGTGTGAGATTTTGAGATGGATTAGAAGGGGTCATGTCCATCTGGAGCGAATGCCACGCTGACTTAGTGCGTCTCAGGTTCCAGCTGCAACCACCGGTTGGCCTTCTGCGTTGCATCTGGACGCTCCATTTTCCCGGAGGCTGGTGTCTTTGAGACCGATCCTGCTGCTTGCACCAGTTGTTCCAGCTTGTCGCCCACTTTGAAGTCTCTTCCGTCAGCAATGAAACTGCTCAACAGTGGCAGAGCTGGCTGCATCAGGACCGCAATGCAAGCCATCCATATCCGCCTGGCACAGGCGGTGTGTCATCGCAAGTGGCAGCCGGTCACAATTGAGTCGAGTCGAATTGCACTAGAACTCTCATTGTATCAGATTTTATATACAGTAGATGATTTTAGTATTGTTGAAGTTGCCAACGATGGTGCTTTAGGACAAGAGCAGTGCCCCAGCATCTAAAGTAATTTCAAGGTACACGGCAACACAAATCTCTACTTGTTGTTAAACACAAATTGTTTAAGATTGAAACAGTGAGGATTCTCAAGAGACCCAAATGCTTGGTTCAGAGTTCCTCTGCTCTGGAAGTGAACGACGATTGGTGCAACTCTGGCTGAGAGAGTAAGACCACTGTCAAGTCGGTCGAGAGCATCCGACATAAAAGTGCAGGTGGTGGCGAGACGATCAAATGCCGCTGCTGCAGACATCGGATGTATTCAAACGAGGCCGCTCTCGCTGCTGTGGACTGATTAGAACAAGGAGAAGAATCCACCGCATGCTTGCCACATGTACCAGGTGCGCAAGCTGCGAAACTGCCCGCTATGCCACTCGCGATTAGATGTCACAGCCATGCACACTCCCTCAGTGCCGTCAGAGGCCAAGGGACATGTGATTCAGTGCAGGATGCAGCGCTACCTAAGCTTTGCAAAGTTGAACATTTGCTTGGGTTCACTGTCACCAGCTCATCGCGAACTGAGGCATTGAGTCTGAACCTGGCATTCCGAAGAGCCTTCTTTACAACTATATAAGTGCAAGCAACAGTTTTCAGCATACTCCACTGTGCTCAAGCTTCACAGAAATGTATGACTTCATTTGTTGCCTGGTTCAGATGGTCTGTTTTGTTTCTCAGGCTCACTGGAAGACGAAGTTTTTAGGAAAGCAGCACCCAAAGAACTTTTCTGCATGGATCAAGACGATTGGACGCAGTGAATCATGCCAGTTGAGATTTCATTAGAGTTTTCTTTTTGCACCTGACTGCTAGGACCTGTCTCGCTGCGTCCAAACTTGATCCTTTGAATCGTTGTCAAATTCATCGCCAGGTGATGTAATGATTATTTACTCCACCGTGTCACCCAGTGCCAAGAAGCTTTCGATTGAAGTGTGATCCGGAATCACACCAAGAACGAATATACAAGAATAGAACGGATATACTTTTTACACCATGACGGCCTTGGACAAGCAATCACAGTATCCTGATTGCAGCGTCCAGCATGTATATATTTTTGGTCAAAGAAATCAGGGTGTCAGTGAATATTTAATGCTGTTTCAGGGCAGGATAACATTTCTTGGTTTGCAGCACATAGACTCGAGCAGGAACAGACAAAAACAGAGTGGCTTCGAAGCCTTGTGGAGTTGCAAGAGTTTGTTGAATTCGCCTGCGCCTTGCAGGGTTGCACGTAGCGGTCAAGCTGAAAAAGGTTGCCTCAGCTATTAGTAACAAGAAGCTACTAGGAACAAGTGCATCGCTTCTAGTAACAAGTGCCTTACTAGTAGTAACAAGAAGCTATTAGTAACAAGTGCCTTACTACTAGGAGCAAGAAGCTACTAGGGGCTCCTGGCCTTACTAGTAGTAACAAGAAGCTATTAGAAACAAGTGCCACGCTTGTAGGAACAAGTGCCTTACTAGTAGTAACAATGTTTGCTATTAGTAAGATTTGACGGAGAAGTGAAACTCGGAGAAGCGAAGCGGAATCTGGCAGAAGCGAAGCACAGTGAGCTGCACGCTTTGGCAAGTCCAGGCTTTTGAGTTCATGAAGTGCCCACTCTTACAGTGCGCAACATCATAGACTCATGCAGCACCAGGGTGATCCTAGAGAAAGGTGAGCATTGTATTGGCTAGGGCAAACACTGAAATCTGGATGAACCCAGGCGAACTTAAACAATCCAAACAATCCAACCACCACAAACAAAGCAGGCACTCTGGCCGCTACTCTTGCCATTTATGTTCACTCTTGCCATGTGGCCGTTTTTGCTGTGGCACTCTCTCCTCTTCTTCCTCTTCTCTCTCATCGCGCCAGTTTGTGCCAAGAAAGCGTCCAGCGAAGGCGATGACTCCGCTCCTTGGCGATGACTCGTCATGACTCGTCCTCGAGCCAGTTCGGTGAAGAGCCAGTTCCGCCTCCAAGGCAATGCTCTTCTTTCTCTTGGCCATGCTTAGTTGCGGCCTCGTGCCATGGACCCTCTGGGTTCTATGGTATTTGCTTTTCCCTGGCCGTGCAGAGGCATGCTCCGACAAACTTTATTGCAACACATCCACGAGACTTGCAAGCCCCCTTCAGTGACCTGCACCCTGTTAGGTTAACAAGGCATTTCCTGTGACGAGTGAGCATGGGCGAACGAGGTTTTGCCGTACCCAAGCTATGCAGGCACAGTGGAAAGACAGAGCAGGGCATTAGATATTGAAGCACTTCAGAGTGAGCCTTGATATCTTCTGTGGTGTAACAGTAGGAGTGTAAGGTTGTTGCGCAATGGGCCAGTTGTTCCATGTTGTTTCATGTTTATGGATCTTAAAGACATATATATATATATATCACCAGTCTCTAGACTTTGTTGGACTAACAACGGTCGCCTGCCCAGAAGTCAGGAACGTCAAGAAGCTGATATACGAAAGCTGAAGACCAGGCAAATTTCGGTAGGCTTTGGTGCGTGACTCGCCCTGAAAGTGTCATTTTTGCTTGCCGCTGTGGAATGTCCCATTTTGGAGTGGCCAAAAGCCAGGGTTTGGATTTACCGTGAGACAGACCGTTGAAAGAACAGGACATGCAGAGGAGGCATAGCTTTTTGGTCAGTGTGCTGTGGAACAACAGGGATCAGCATGTTCTACTTGCAGCGTGGCATCGCATGGTGATCACAAATACTCAACCTCATGGCTTTTTGGTGAAATGGACCAAGGCGACTCGTGCTGTTAGCACTTTTGTGGTGCTGGCTTGTCTACATCATGATGCAGGACTGGGAACAGGTTTTGCACGGGGCAGAACCGGCCCAAAGCCTCAGCAGACGAAACACCAGGCCGTCATGGGGGCTTGCCTCGGGGCTTGCCCTCAACTAGCAAAATCCATCGACTACTTCACAATATTCTCGCTGGACTCGCTGGCTTGACGTTTGTGCACACTCATGTGTTTCTCTTCAATCCTCTTATGCACATTGCCATTGCAGAGAATCAATCATCCCTTCTTCAAGTCAAGAATGCCATCCGGAGATGCCCCATCTGTCGCTTCCACAGGTGCGCCAAGTACTTGCCACCAGCGCACTGCAACTCCTTCGCACTGCTGTGGGGCTAGGCTAGACAAAGAAAACACATTCCCTTTGTTTGTTCTATTCCCTTGTGTGTGGGTCCGACTTATATACTTTTACCTCCAGGTGAGAAGAGCCCTGTCCATTGATACGAGTTTTGACTTGGATGAAGCAACTCAAGTGGCCAGCGGTGACGGTTCCTTTTTGGGGGAGAGGGACGAAGGAACAATGTGAAGGAGGAACAAAAGGGTCAGGGCCTCTTGAGGCCACGTCATTAGATAGTTTTCTCTTACTTATCTTACTTTATTTAACTAGTTGTTTATGTTTTTTGTTTTTTCATGTTTTGCTCTAATCACTTCTACAGTGTCGGCAAACCCGATTGGAACATACTTTGCTTGGAGTTGTGAGCACCATCGTTTCATCCATACGCAAGGACACATATGTGTCTCTCTCTATATATATAATTATACAAATAGACTAAAGGTCATGGCCGCCCTTGCATTGCAAATGGACCGTGAACTCTGTCTTGATGCTCCAAACATTATGTAGGTTGTTTTGATACTCCAATGCCCCTGAAATTCCAAATGTTGATGATTGCGTGATGCACATGTTGACATGCTCAGAATTTCCAGACGATATCACATTGCAGCAAATGTGCACAGAAGCAAAGGAGTTCTAGAAGGTTGCAGTCTCTTTGACAGGATTGTTTTCTCTTTTCTGGAACTCTTCAAGGTACCAAAACTTCGATCCCTACGCTATCTTGGAAGTGGGGGGAACCTCTTCCAGTTCGCAGATCAAGAGCCTTGGATGGCTTGGATCAATAGAGGGTGCAAACGTACTCGCTGGACCTTGATAAAGATCGAGGCGTGGTGGGTTGGATCCAAGGAAGGCATTTCACAAGCTCTCACTGAAGTACCATCCGGATAAGAATCCGGATGCAGCTGCAGCTGAGAAGTTTATCCTCATCAAGAAGGCACAAGTGGAAAGGGAAGCTCACCACATGACTCACATGATCCCATCCAGACAACCGAGAGGTCCAATCTATCTGCATCTCTTGTACTAACAGACAAGGGACAAGTGAATAGTTTGAACATGTGTTGCCCGTACGATTTGTTGACCATCTAGATGCGCATCCTTGAGTTGGCCGCCTTTTGCTTCGACTGGACTGGGTGTGTGGGGTGGGACCAGGAAGAGACACTCCCTCCCCTCACGAACTCAATAAGTCCAAGTATAACCAAGTATAGCATTTTTCAGGAATTGTCAATGGCCATCGCTATTAGGTTGGAGGCCATTGCTTCTAGGTTGGTGGCCATTGCTATTACTGTAGGTTGGAGGCCATTGCTATAGGAATTGCCGAAAGGTGCCTTGAGCTTTGCTGTAGGCCTACGATGCGCTTACAGACCCAGTTGCCAAGCGCAACTACCGTCGTTGCCTGAGCATTCTGATTGCCAGGTAACCAGGAGAGTTTCGTTTCTCGTTCGGTTGCAATTTTAGGATTTCTATTTAGGCGGTGAGCCGCTTCGCTGGCAATCTCAACCTGTCAGCAATGAGTGATTGGACGTTTGAAAGGACTTAGAAGGATACTCTAATTAAGGGCATCTACAGTGAGACTTAAAGCCAAGACGTGTAGGGACTTATCCATGGCAGACATGCAGACATGTTGATTGTGACAGGCCTTTACGGGAACCCTGATGGACCCACTCGGGTGGAACTTAGTGTGACATTGCCCACAGTGGACAAGGACAGCTGAAAGCAGCTGTACTGCTGCAACACGTTCTTTTTAATGTCATTGGTGGAACTTCACCTGGAAATTCTGGCACTTCTGGAAAGCCAACCCTTTGCGCAGGAGAAGCAAGGACTGGTGCTGGTCCTTTTTCTAGTGCCTTTTGTTATCGGCGTACCCTTGATGCTGCTATACTGCATGCCACCAGACTGAAGACTTTGCAAAGTGTTCCATTGCTCTTCCAAGAAAGCCGTTGAAACCCTCATTCACTTTTGTTGCCTGTTTTTGTATGTTGTTGTTTGTATCAGATGAAACCAAGTCGTTTTGACATCCTGCCTTGGACACTTTGTCTCATCGAGGCAGTCCTCCTCCGTGGATCCTAATGGACTGCCCCCTCTCACCAACGAGGCAGGGAGACCGTACGGTGTTCGGACATCCAATGCAAGCTCAAGTCAATCATCGTCACACGCCGCACTGCCATTGTGGAAGCAGGTTAAAGCAGGAAGATTGCAAGTCAAGGTCAGGGTAGATACACATAGTCGACCAGGTGTTGCTTGCACACAAATCCAGAGCTGTTTTGCGGCAGACTTGGAGAGAACAGGGCTTAGCGACCACTTTGGTTTTTGCCTCCGTCAGTTAAAAGTTTGAAGAAGTATCCTACTATGAAAATTCCGTGTGTTATTTGCAGCTTCACAGTGCCTTCAGGGCCAGGAACGCTATTCTTTTTCTTTGGGGACTTCTTGCAGTAGTTCTCAGCATTGGATGCCTACAGAGGCAAAGTTTCGTTTTACAGCATGCTCTGTGGAGTGCATTTACTGTGCCAGTGTGGCCAGTGTGGTGGGTGCGGGTTTGCGGGACGATGACATGAGTGTCAGTGTGGCCGTGCAAGTGAGATTGCACGCCATGCATACTTGAAGATGATGCCCTTCGGTAGAAGAGGGCTGGGGTGGCGGGGTGAGAGAATGACCTGAAGCTTGGACTATTGCTACGCGTGCAGCTTCTGGCGCAAGACCGCAGAGCCTGTGGATTTGAAGCGCGGAAAAAACATGTAAAAACAATCAGAAGCAACCCAAGCAAAACTCTCCACGTCCTCGACGGTGCCTTGTTCTTGTACCATTTTTCCCGTTGAAGGCGAGACAGTTCAAAAAGCACTCGATGCTTGGGAGTGGCGCTGGTTTCACGTTCGGCCGGGTTGATGGTCACCTATTTTAGTACACGCGCTTACAATCACGAATTGAGGTACCGCAAATAGATTCAACATAGGTTGGAGGCCATTGCTATTTTGCTTCTAGGTTGGAGGCCATCGCTATTAGGTTGGAGGCCATGACTATAGGTTGGAGGCCATCGCTACTAATATTAGCTGGACATGATGACGAAAATAGGCATGTGTGCTGCAGCATGGCGACAGGTCCTGCAGAATGGTCTGGGAGAGGCACTCGATGTTAGAGCTGCGCAGGCCAAAGATGCAAGTGGGATATATGCGGCAAGAAAGTTTAGTTAGTTTAGTTGGTTCCTCGATTGTGTTTCTTGTGTGATATCGGCAGCTCATATACAGTGTACAGTAAATCGTTTGAGTTCACAGAAGCTGATTCCCCGACAAACTGTGGGGAATAGTTTGACTGACAAGAAGACTTGGGGTGTATGTGTGAACAGACAGCTTTGGCGCAGGAACTCCCATAAATCATCGTTTGTCAGAGGTTCTTGGAGGATCAATGATCAGTCATCGAATACAAGTTGGTTGCCGATTGTACACAGGGATTCTTTGACCAACCCGAAGGCATCTCACTTCTGCACCAAAATGCCATTGTGATTACATCGCGAGCCAGCATGAGAGCTTTGTGTTTCCCTAGGCAACTACTTGGACCATACTGATACTCTTTTGACTACCCCGTGTCAGTGACTTCAAATCATGGGTGGCATTGCTTCTACTCACAGTTGGAGGATCAAATGCCTTTCAGTGTAGCAACTCGTATGCGTATCCTACACTGATCATCACCCAGAGAACAGACAGTGAAACCCAAATCTAGATCCACATGGTCTCTTTATCCAATCTTTATCCATCACGCTTGGTGGGTAGGGTTTATTGGGTTGATAGACTTTAGAGCTCCTTCTCGCAAAGTGAACGCCAGTGAATCGAATCGATGATGAACCTTGCTCTCATGTCATGCTGAAGCGTGACACACAGAGCGCAGACCTGGTTGCCAGGAGCTCTTGCTGCTAGCGAGTCAACCAGATCTGCCGCCAGAGCCTATGGTGCACGTGTGCGTTGCTTGGCCATTGGGTGAGTTTATGCAAACTTCATGCATCCATTTCCATTCCAAACCTAACCAAACAACACACAAGAGGAAACTCAGCGAAGGTTCCACTCTCGTTTGCCTTCGCTTAGCCTTTGTCTCATTACTGCATCTTGATCTAATCCTGCTAGCTGTCACCTACATGTCGAGGCTATAGACTATGCTGATGTGCGAAGGCAGTTGCTTGGATGTTTTAACAGCTTGTGCCCCCAAATCTTTTTTCCTCCTTGTAGAATCTTGAATTTGAGCGTCCAAACTTGTGCTTTGGTCCAGCATGGCCATCTCAGGCTTGCGTGTCAAGGTGCCGGACATGTGCGAAAGCGCCCACAGTCCAGGGCAAAGGCGGGTGGGCCACGAAAAGAACAGAATGGTGTGCCAAGCAACATTGAGTGGAGATGCCCGGTAGGGCACAAACAGTTTCACAGTAACACAACAAGAACCAATTGCGCGTCCCCGCACCCAGCACCCATGCCCAAACAAAAAAACGAACACACTCTGACATTGGTTTTCAGTTACAGTAACTCAATTCCCAGGAAAATGGCGATGGAACGGAAAGGTGAGAGGGTCAGCGCACTTGTATGGTTTTAACAATCTGTTGACGTGTCTGCGGTGGCGAACATCAACGCGGCTCAGCTGCAGGAAAAGCGGCGGAAGAAAAGGTTTGCGGGAAGTATCATGCGAACCACCATGAAACAAACCGTGGAGAAGGAGGGTAACAGCTTGTGAAGCACTTTGCAGGTACATGGTTGAGCGTCCTCAACCACTTCCCTTCCAGTGACCCAGCTTCGTTGGATCAGGTTAGTCACTGGAAGCCTGATCCCCCTGCTTGCGTGATGGAGACATCAGGAAACGCGGAACCCTTTGGAACAGGGGTTGACACACACACACAGGAAGCCGAAGTCGGCGCAGGTGCGCGAAAAGGTGGCATCGTGCTCTTTTTCTCAAAAAACGCCGGCATGCTGTTGGGTCATGTCCTTTGTGGACGTACAGCCGGATAAGCTCTTCAGCCGCTGCCGCTGCGGTGTGTGGTGGAAAGGTGTATGTATAAATTGCATGTAGTCTGGAAGCCAAGCCGGAAAGAGCCAAGCGCTGGCTACCGGCGCTGGTGTGGTCCCTGATTTTCCAGGGCTGTGTGGGTTGAATGTAGGTGATGGTTCGTTCAATGTTGAAGCCCAGGAGGTGAAAGTCATCCACTGTTTCCAGTTCCACTGGATCGCCGAAAAAGTTGTGGTGTATGAGGGTCTGGATGGCTGGGTGGGTGTGAAGTGGAGGGCGGTGTGCTGGAGAAGGTTGTTGTGGAGTTGGTGCCAAGAGCGTTCAATGAGGGTGATGGCGACGTTGCAGAGGGCAGGAGAGAGTTGGGAGCCAATCCCAGCCCCTCGGATTTGTTTGTAGGTGCTATTGCATGCCCGGAAAATGCAGGTGTTGAGTGCAAAGGCCACAATGGTTGTGATGTCAGAGGTGTGGAGGGTGCGTTGTGTAGGATGTTTTGTGTGGTGTCGGCCGACGTGGGAGTGATGGAATGCCGGTGGCTTTGGTGTCAACTGTCAAGGTTTGTGTAGTATTTTGCTGCTGCCATTGTTGGATCATAGAATGGACGGCATCAATAAGGCGGTGTTGGGGTACTGAGTTGAAGAAGCCCACGAGGTCGTCGTTGGTCGCGTGTAGAGAAATGTCTGCCGGTGTGTGTGTAAGATAGCAATGGAAGTGGCGCCATAGTTGTGGGATGGACAGTTGGCCTGGATGTTGTGGGAAGAGATGTTGCAAAATGATGTCAAGCGCTCGGCTGGTGATGCGTAGGAGGTTGCCACTCAGGGAGTGGAAGTACGAGATGATGGTACGTCCCTTCTGCCACTGCTTCTTTTCTTTGAGGTGAACAATGCCGTATGGGATAGTGAAATCTTTCCTGAAGCCTCATTTGTATCGGGAGCGTAGGTTGGCTGGGATGGTGGCGGAGAGGTGGTCGTGAATGTTGGAGGTATTGAGATGTGGAAGGGGTTCGAAGAGTTCCGGACCTTGCTAAGTGTTGAGCGCTCCAGTGAAGTATTGACGTGGGCAAAAAATCCGGAGTTGTTGGAGTTCGTGGTCCGCATGGTGGAGCACGACTTCGTCGCCCAGGTATTCTTGAAGTTGACGGAGGAGGCGAGCAGTGAAACGTGGTTGTTGCTTGAGGTGTGTAGTGTGAAGTCGCCATTGATGTTGAAGGAAAGGCTCCAAGTGCTGACTGAGCGAAGTCGGGAGGCCTTGCGTCCGAAGCCATTTGGTGTGGTGGTAATGCCAGTTGGTCCAGGGTGAGAATGTAGTGGTCGTTTGTGGTGGCGGTGGCTGGGTCGAGAAGATCTGGAGGAGTGTGCAAGGTATCTTCCCACACGCGGTGGTTGTGAAGCTGTGCTTGGAGTGTTTTGTGGGCAGCTTTGCGTAGCCGATGTGTGGGGAGGTGGAGGGGAATGGCTAAATGCTTGTGTTGTTGGATGGTGGTTTGTAGCCACTGCTGGCAGTGCTTGGTGAAATCGTCGTGAGCCAGGAATGGTACTGTAAGAGGAATGTTAGGCTTGGGAGGTGTCAGGTTTCTGTAGTGAAGTGCTTTGTTGATAATGTGCAGGGCTCGGGTACGACCTGGCTCTTCGAGATTGGAGGCCATACGTCTGATGGCATACACTTCTAGGTCAGTGTGACGGCCGCTGCGAAGCTGTTTGGCCGCTTCAAAGGAGGCCAGAGTGTGCTTGGTGAGATTGCGAAGAAGAGTCAGGGCATGATGTTTGGTGGAAGTAAAAAGGTACGGTTCTCTGATTGTCTGCTGTCGTCTGCGAAGCTTGCGAAAAAGCCTTTTGTGTGTGGCCAAGCGGGAGTAGGAATGCGCCCGGTGCTTGGTGAATTGCCAGCCCTCGGCTTTTAGCTTGAGATGTTGGGAGATGAAGGGCCAATTGAGAGGTGGCATCCAGTTGGAGATGAAGTGGTGTTCTTTGATCCACGCTTGGTCGTAGTTGTCATGGGAAGAGAGCTGAATGGAGTGAAGTGGTGTATGTTGCCATGGGAGTGCCAGTAGCGCAGGGAAAGTTCAGCGGAGACTGGGATGTTGTTTTGAAGTTGCTTGAGCTGGTTGTTGATGTTGTTCTCGATGTGGTATGCCGATGGCGGTGGAGCCCACATAATAGTGGCCATGTTGGTGGTAGCACCGTTGTGGTGTGATGGTGTTGAAGTGGAGTTTGATGTAAACCGAGGTGGGGGAAAGAAAGTTGTGGTAGTGGTAGGTGTGAGGGAGCACTTGGAGGTGCCGTAGGCGCTGTCGCCATTGTTGAGAGCGTTGAGTAGATGACGGATAGCAAAACAGGAGGGTGATGTGAATGAGGCCGACAGCAAAGATGGCTTCAGCGCGTTCGATGTATTGGCTGTGGTGAATGAGTGTAGAAAGGGCGTGTAAGTGGTAGAGGTGTTGTAAGTGTGTGTTGTGCGGCAGGTGTTGGCTGCAGAGAGAGAGTCAGCAGGCGACAGCTGCCCCCGTACTGACAGTGCTGCAAGCTCTTGATGGTGAGCTTGTTGACACGGTTGAGTGGCAAACCGTATCGAGTAGCCGCTTCTTTTAGCTGGTCAGTGGTGACCTTGCTCGTTTGGAGAATGCGGAGCACTTCTTTGGCCGATTCTTGAACCGTTGGGTCGAAAGTGCGCATCCATTGCAGAATGGCTGGAGCCGTCCATGAATCTGGAGCATCGTCTTTTAAAGACGGGTGGGGTGGTTGGAGGACGTCCGCCAGCACGCGGGGCTTGTGTGCTGCGGGTTCTGCTGGAGCGGCTGGTGCGCTGGGGGGGCGGAGGAACGACCGGCATCTTTTTGGGGGGTAAGTTCGACGCCGTGGGCTTGGAGCTTCTCACGGGCTCGGGCCAGGTCGTCTGACGTGGCTTTCAGGGCGCGAAGGGCGGAACCTTCTGCCGCGCTGGAGCGTGGGCTTGGAGTTGTTGAGTGAGAATGGAAATCAGTGGGGCGTGAAAGGCGCGGGCTTGGGTTGTTTTGTTGGGGACTGCGGTGCCTTGGGATGTGTGGATGGCTTCCGCAATAGCGTCCAGGTCAAGGCGAAAACGGACTCAGCAATGCTGCGTGTCGGAATGAGGCCACAATACTTCCCATGGCTCAGAGTCCTGGCCGTGTAATCGGCCGTACCATGGTAGGCGAGGAGCCATGGAAAAACATCGAAGGTGGGAAGTCCAGCGATGCCGATGCGACGTGACCATTGTGTGGGCTGTATGGTGCGGTGAAGTTGATGGCCGTGTGATGCATTCGAGTCCCAGTGAGAGTCTGTGGGATGCCACGAGTCTTGAAGTTGTGGCTGGGGAAACGGGACGGTGGACGGCGGTGCAGGTGGAGCCTGGTGAGTTGGACTGTGCTTGAATGAGGTGGCGTTCGGAGTAGTAGGGGCTGCTGTTGGAAGTGGTGGCGGTGGAGGTGGTGGGAATGGTTGGTTGGTAGAAGGCGAAGGAGTGTGTGTCGTTTGTGAGTTGGCAGGCGATGGAGTGTAGGGGTGGTGATGGTGTGCCTGCTGGGTGCGTACTGGGTCATAGGTCCGTAGGTGCCCGTGGGAGTGTATTGGTGAGTGGCTTGGCTCTGTTGCGTTGTGGGCTGCTGTTGCTGCTGTTGCTGCTGGAGAAGATAGTGTTGCCAGTAAAATTGTTGCCACTGCGCATCCATGATGTCAAGGTATCGGGCTCAAAGTGAACAAGTGGGAAGCGGAAAGTTCGAGCAAGAAGGCTGTGGTGTGAAGGCTGTAATATGGACACGAACAATTCTTGTCGCAAATGCTTAAAAATTCGAAGTCATGATACAAAACCGTGGTTCTGGCGGTGGTTGAAAAAGCAGAATCAGGATCCGTTCTCTGCGGTGGGTGTACATGTCACATGAGACGTCGACTGCTCTTGTTTTTCGTGGTGCGGGGTGAAACAACGAGCGGTCGCTGCATGGAAGTATGTCCACAGAACGCTTGGCAGCATACAGGTGGTGCGCAAAAATGGTTAAGGTGAAAAACAAAAGATGAGAACCGAAGGGATAACGTGAAAGGTGGACTATAAACTTGAAGTAGCTACAGAAGATTGGCTACGAGGCCGGCTCAGGCATCTCAGTTTCCATAGTTGTTCCAGGGGTCATCCTCAGAGAAATAGGGCTGCTGTGATGGCGGCAAAGGTCGGCCGTCGGAGTCGTAGAGGATCCGGACGGGTTCAGAGGATGCCATGGGCGGTGTTGGATAAGGCTGTTGTGGCTGTGCAGGGTCACAGCGGAAAATGGGTTGCTGGTAGTGCGGTGGTGAGTGGGATTGCTGTGGAAATTGCTGTGGCTGGTAGGGTGCAGGCCATGG